CACTGTTGGTCGTTTTGACATAATTTAGGATTTAATTTTCAGTCTATTTCCTTTTTTGTTTGCCTGTTCTACTCCAAAATTCCCCCTCAGGCCTTTTTCCTAATGATAAACAGTTCAGGGCCAGTTGTGGCCGTTTTGTTTTAAGTGGAAACTGTCACTTTAGAGTTGGAGGAGATCTGTGCGCATGCGTAGTAGAACCCTCTTGAGGGTGGGGCTGGGGTGCCCACTAGCTCAGGCACCCCTATAGTTACCAGAATGGAGGTGCTCAGACAGCAAGGGACCAATGAACAGATACCAAAAGAAAAAAATGTCCACACCTTTGTCTCCGCGGTTCTGTCAGGCGTCCGTGGCTGCTCTGATTCTTCCCCCGCTTGGTCTCACCCAAGATGGCAGCTCCTAGAGCAGCTGAGCATCTTGAATTAGAAAGCAGTGGATTTCTTGCTTCTGCTACAAATTCCCCCAGCTGTAAGCCTTCCAACCTTCTAAATATTCCTTTATATGTGGTTCAGAGTTCTGGGACCATCCCCTGAGCCTTCTTGGTCCTGTATTCTGTGTTGTTGCTAACGGAGCTCCTCACTGCCATCTTGTTTGTTCTCCCCAATCATAGACTTTTACATCATCATTTTGATGAGACCAATTAGTTTTGATTTCTTTTCTCAACATGGATTTCAGGAGGGATAGGCCTAGGGTCCCAGTGTGTTTGGGAGGCACCAACTTCAAGTTGAAGCATGAATCCTTACTTTCAGAGTTCTCAGCCTTTCATATGTACTTGAGGAGGGAGCTGCGGTATGCAGTGTTTCCTCAGCTTTGACCAATGAACCCTCACACAGAGCCTCTCAGTGGAAGGCAGTTTGGGAAACACTGTTTTGACCTCACTTCCCTAACCAACAGCCAAGACTGTGCTAAGTTAGAGACACCATCACTTCTGTCCCATGACCCCATTTTGGCGTGTGAGAACCTGAAACTGCTGAGAATCATCAAACCTTAAAAACTACTGCCCCGAGGTACCCCCTCTCACTCATTGGCCTCTGTTTTCCTCCCCAAGACTGACCAGAGCTGTCCCGTGTCGACTGGCCGCGCACAAGGTGAAGAGCCTGCTCAAGGGCCAGGGCTTCCCGGAGTATGTGGCTCCTTTCGGAAATTCCCAGGCCCATGATGCACTGGGCTGGGTGCCTGTCCATTTCCTCACTCATTCTTCCAGCGACAAGGTAAAGGGGAGAAGTGGAAGGCCCAGTCCCGTGCTCTCTTCCTGTGAGTGGGGAGAATAGAGGCAGCTGGGTGAGCCCTTGGCTGTTGTTGTTGATGGTTCTGGGAATTGGTTATGGAGTAACCTGCATCTTGACTACTGATTTTGCCTCTAAGTAGCAATATTGCCTTCATCTGTGAAACAGGGGTGAGAGTTACAGTAGTAATCTCATGAACTTGTTGAGAGGATTAAATGAGGTACCATTCATGAGACGCTTTTCATGTTGCCTGGTGGCCCCTCTGTCAGTGGGAACAGCTGCTCTCCTGTAAACCATGGTGGTTGGCGGGGTTGTGACAGGAGCCCTTCCCTAAGCATCCCATGATGAAACACACAGACCTAAGGATTGGCTCTGAAAGGTGGAGAGTCTTCTCCCCACAGCTGGCTTACCCATCCCCTCTCCCAACTCTATCAAGGCAGCCCACAAGCTTTCAATTCACAAGGCCCTAGGAGAGTTTAATGGAAGTTGACATCCTACAAATAGGTTCCTGTTCCCATGTGACAGTGCTGCCCACCTCTGTCTTTTGTCTTAGCAGTCAGCATGTGGGCCTGCCCCCACCACGGAGGAGGCTGCTCCCGCAATCCTTTAATTGCCCAGCTTTTCCTCAGCACAGTTTCTTCAGGCCTCTCATTATCCGCTTAGCATATTTATAGCTCGGGGATAATGGGGGTGAAGATGAGCTCACAGCTCCACCTGCCCTCTCTACCCTTTCCACCGAGTCCCCAGTGGAGACTGGTGATTACTCAGGCCCTGCTGTTCAGCTGCTAAGTCCTGGCTGAGCTTTGTCACCTCAGTGAACCAGAATCCTTAGAGATGAAGGAGGACATCCAGTTATTACTTCCCCCTCAGGAGGCTGGGGGAGGAGCAGCTGCAGGCATTAGAACTGCCAGGGGCCTGGTCCAGGGGGCTCACAGGGCCTCTAACAGGTTGGGTACTAACCTTCTAGGAAGAGCAGTTTACGGTAGCTGCCTGTTGCTTCATCTCCTGATACGGGCATGGATACCAAGCTTTTCAGCCTATAGTTTCCTAAACGGCACTTCTAAGCTAAGGAATTCCCATCGGTCTCTTCTTGGCGGGTTCCAAACTTAGCAGGACTAATTGCTTTTCATGCTTCCAGGAGTTGTACTTTTTAAAAAAATGTTAATGGTGGAAACATGTCAACCACTTTTTACCAAAGTAAAACAGTACAGTGGTGTTCCCATCTATCCATCATGTAGAATTGATAGTTACCACAGTTACCAACTGGAGAACCTTGAGAGGCAGGACTGAGGTCTGGAAGGCCCTACTGTCACATTCTTCCAAAGAGGTCTCATGGGTCTCAGGACTGGCTCCTGCGACCTCAGACTTGACTCGGGCACCTAGGCTGTGGCGCAGCTGCTCTTAGTTCAGATGTTTTCTTCACTAGTTGCTGCTGAGTTAGGTTCAACTCATGGCAACCTATATATCACAGAAGGAAACATCACACCATCTTCATGGTTCAGATAAGACACTAACGTCATTGACAGTATACATGTATTCCCTGTATACCTAAATGTAACATCTTAATTGCCAACTGATAAAAATAGATCATTGAGAAGAATGTGCTTGAATTTCCTCAAAGTGCACTTGGACATATTGTTCAATCAGGTGTAGCTTCAATCTACTAATACTGCAGTCCTCTCTCCCTTCAGTGCCAGCTTCTCTTCTAAAGTTATGTCCCTCTGAGATGGATAGAAGCCGGTAGCAATGTTCCCATTTTGCAGTTAGGTCAGTTAAGGCCCTCAAGGTCCCGCCGCTGGGTATTGATAGTATCACAACTCCCTGGTGCTGATGGCTTCAATAGCAGCAGGCGGATTTATAGAACTCTGCTTCAGGTATTAAAATATTTTTGGAGCATTGAGTGCTTTATACACTTTCTTAAGCTGTGATTATCTGGACTCCCAGTCTATTCAGTCTCTTGTTCAGAACATTTTGTAATATGTGAAACATTTTATAATTAAAACTCTGAACTGCAGGTTAAGTTTGACTTGAAGTTGGATCCTGTTCCCATTGACCAATGGCATTTTGTTTTGTAGGATTCATGCCAGGTCCCAGTGGCTTTGGTTATTGAAGTGAAGTGGACTAAATATGGTTCCCTGGTGAACCCACAGGCTAAAATCGTGAATGTGACTGCAAACCTCCTTTCATCCCCATTCCTGGAGGTAGGCCTAACTTTAGTTTAAAAGTGTAGGTTAAGAGTGAACTCCCATCATGGTACAGCTTGGCCAGGGCCGGAAAATACAGAAGCTGATGGTGCAGCCCATCATTCACCACTTCAGATACTTTCAAAATAGATCCCAGACTCAGGTATGGCTCGATGAGCAAGTGAATATGTGGACCGAGGAATGGATTATAGGTTCCGGTGACTATCTGAACTTGTATTAGATGATGTAGAAGAGGTGCGATCTAAAACAGTCCAGAAACAACTGGGTCGGATCCTACTAAGGGGAGGTACTCCCATTCTGCTGCAAACTACAGCCAATTAGAAATGATCGTTGAAGTGAGAAGTTGTTGAGGGCAATATTTTGCCCCCCTTTTTAGGTGTCCCTTGTTAGGAAGCAGCAGCCACTCTGAGGTGGAAAGAAGAGGCCATCTGCTCCTGTAAAGATTGACCAGTCCAACTCCGCCTTGTAGGGTTGCTGTGAGTCGAAATTGACTCAGTGCTGGTGGTGGGGGTATTGTTATGAATAAGGAGCCCTGGTGGCACAGTCAGTTAAGCACTCAGCTGCCAACAGAATCCACCAGCTGGTCTGTGGAGAGAAAGATGAGACTGTCTGTTCCCATAAAGGTTTGGAAACACAAATGATCAGTTCTGTTATGTCCTATAGATCATTGCGAATTGGAATCAACTCAACAGCAGGTTGGTTGTTATGAGTCTAGTTCTAAAATGTGTTCATATTGCTTTAGTTACTCTAATGTTATTGTTGTTGTTGGGTACCGTGACATCAGTTCCAACTCATAGAGACCCTGTGTACAAAAGAACCCAACACTCCCCTTCCCTGTACCAGGGTCACAGTAATGATCGTGTTTAAGTGCATTGTTGCAGCCATTGTGTTGTTGAGGAGCTTCTGTTTTTTCCCTGACCCTCTACGTCACCAAGCATGATGTTGTCATTTTTACCAGATCACAGTCCAGGCTGTGGGGTGGTTTTAATTTAAAAAAATTAAAACGTTAAGTATAGGCCAAACCAGAACTCATGCTTGACAGGTAGAATTCATTTTGTGAAAAAGATTATTACTCAAATTTAAATAATCTGGATTCCTAAACAGCTGAACAATCCTTTATATCCCACTTTGTTGTTGTTTAGTGCGATTGAGTCAGTTGTGACTCAAGAGCAACCCTGTATAGGATTTCCGAGGCCTGGCTGGGGAGCTGGTGCCACCGATCTTGCACATGAACCAGCAGTGTGCCACACCAGGACTCCATAGCTTATTTACTGTTAAAAAAGAGAAAAAACCGTCTCCACAGATAATGATTTTATTTATATTAGTATTCTTGTTAAGATTTTAGCTGTAAAATTCTTATGCAAACTGAATTATCACTGAGATTGGCAACTTAGGTAAAATCGTATCTCTTGTCTAAGTTAATGGCTTGGCGTTCTGGTGCGATGCTGCAGGATAAGCTCTGGACTGCAACCTGGAAGGCTAGTGGTTCAAACCCACCAGCTGCTCCTTGGAAACCCTATACAGGGTCGCTATGAGTTGGAACCGACTCGATGGCACTCAGCAACAACAAACCTCCATGTATCAACCAAGTCAGTAGAGTCATCGATGTCCCATCTCTGTTGTCCTGGGGATAGATTGGAGGGCGAGCTTGTCTCACTCTGAAATCTGATTGCAGGCAGACTCAGGAAATGAACGGACGATTCTTATTTCCACCGTGGTGACTTTTGTGGATGTGTCTGCACCTGCAGAGCCTGGTTTCAGAGCGCGGCCAACTATCAATGCCAGGCTGCCCTTCGATTTCTTCTTCCCATTTGTTTGAGGTAAGTTGTTAACTAAGGATGCCGCATGCCACAGCTGTAAGGACTTTACATTTAGTATAACGGACACGTGGGCCAGAGGACCCTCCCAAATGTCCCATTTTGTTCCCCTTCTCCTGACCCTTGAAACCTCCCACACCAACACAACCCTCTCCACTCTGTCCTCCCAAGTCTTTTGGGGCTAGCCGGGAATTGTACTATACTTGGTTTAAATGGAGCACATAGAAAACATCTGGTCTGGGTCCTTATCAGCACTCTCAGCACGTAGGTCGAGTGTGCAGAACAAGTTTGCTGTGCCCAGGCTCCGTCTAGCTTCTTCATCCCACTGCTTGAGTGCAAGTTATTTTAGAAATATTCATTGTTTCCAGCTCAGGTTTTCTTCCCTTTTCAGGGCCCCTTGAAGAGAGTACGAAAATAGCAAACTCCTGTCTAAAATGGTGCAAGCAAAGCACAAAGCCTCATGAGGGGCTCTTTCCCCAAAGAGCATGTTAATTACAGCATAGCCTTGGCTCTAATTGCCATTGCTGAGCCTTGGCTGTTGGGCTGGTGCGATGCCACATAGCAGGTCCAATCAGTGGAAGCCAGAAAGAATACAGGAGGAGGGCCTGGGGGAAGGAGAGAGTTTATTTTACACATTAATTGTACAGTAATTGAAAGCAACTTTGTCAGGTGACAGAACGGGGTGGGCTGGCCAGAAGCTGGTGATGCAGCTGTGTGGTGTTGAGGGGGCTTGGGTCCCCGGAGCAGCCTCCTGGTGGGTGGGGGACACAGCACGAGGAGCTGTTCAGAACAGCTTGGAAGTCAAAAGGACTTTTCTAGAATGGGTTGGCAGCTAAAGTAGCTGCTTTTCCTTTTTTCTTTCTTCTTTCAGAATGCTCAGTGAAAGGACGTGCTGGCCCTAAACATACATTGAACTTCAAAAAGTTGATGAGATTAAATTTTTTATATGACTAGTAATTGTTCAGTTCATTGTTTATCTTCAAGCAAGAGTACAGTGTTCCGTAAGAGAAAGTAAGAGTTCAGGATACGTTGATTATACAGTGAGGGGTGGTACCGGGAGGACACTAGACTTCATGATACATTTACTACATGATGGGACACTCTTGGCCACACCAAGGGAGAAATACAGCATCAGAAAAACTGCCCGTGCCGACTGCCACAAAGCTGGATGTGAAGGAGTCAGAAGCAGACCCAAACGGCCCAGACAAGGCTGTTGTCCTTCTCGTCCCAGGCCCAGCCCGGTCCCAGGGGCAGGCTGGTACGCACCTAGTTCAGGCTGGTACGCACCCAGGTGCAGCGGGTACGCACCTAGTTCACCTCACCAATAAGTCCATGCTGTCTCAACAGCTTGTTAAGTCTTTCAATTTCTTGTTCCTGTTGGTAGAAAAGTAGACAAACGTTCATGTTTACCTTCTGTTCACAGCCTCACCAGAGAGATGACAGTCATTCAGTGAGCCCAGATACAGGGACACAAAGTGAATGAAAGCCAGCAGAATCCCCTCTGAAGGGGACAGCTGCAGTCAGAGGCAGTGCAGAGAGCAGCAGTGACAAGGACCGACACCCAGAACAGGGAGGAAGTGATGCCTCCAGTGAATCGAAAAGTTCCAGGGAGACTTAGGTGCCCGGCTCTGGCCCCACAGGAGCAGAGGTAGGACGGGGATGCACACAGATGACATTTCCCATGTGTCCTCTTACCTTCTCTGAGCAGCTGAACTCAAGGTGTTGAATCTTGGCAGCCAGTTGTATGTTAATCTGTTTTAACCTTAAGAGTTGCCGTTCTGAACGTGTCTTAACTGAAATAATTATCCCTGGAAAAACAATTGAGGGTATCAGTGACACTGGTTTCTAATTTAACACTTTCTTTTTAAAATTTGTATTTTTATCCTATTTATTGATGTATCTAGAAGATGCATAGGTACTACAGCTGTGTTTAGTAGACTTAGATACTACAGCTGTATCGAAAGACATATAGGTACGACAGATGTATCTAGAAGACACATAGGTACGACAGCTGTATCTAGAAGACACATAGGTACTACAGCTGTATCTAGAAGACACATAGGTACTACAGCTGTATCTAGAAGACACATAGGTACGACAGCTGTATCTAGAAGGCACATAGGTACTACAGCTGTATCTAGAAGACACATAGGTACTACAGCTGTTATCTAGAAGGCACATAGGTACTACAGCTGTATCTAGAAGGCACATAGGTACTACAGCTGTATCTAGAAGGCACATAGGTACTACAGCTGTATCT